CTGAAAACCAGAGGTGGAATCGGGGACAGGGATGAGAAAAAACCTGGATACAATTGGAAAATAGCTTTAGTTACTTTTCTGGCATTAAAGAGAAAAGGTATGACATTCCTCCTATAAGAGGAGAGGAAAGCAGAAGAGGGAGGTGGTAGAATTCATTGGTATACGAAAGAGAGTCTTCTAATTAGATTTTTAATCTATACTTCAAGGCGGATGAAAAGTTCAGTGAAAGAAACATTTTTCTTGTCATTTTCTCTACTTCTTTCCCCAAGTAAACACAGCGCTAGAGTCTTAGCCTTTTCTTGTCACCCTGCTGTCCACCAGTTAAAGTATAGCATGGTAGTTATAAATAATGGACTTTAGAATCCTATATACCTGAGTTCAAATCCTGGCTTTAACCATTTACTAGTTGTATGACCATAAGCAAGTCATTTAATTCTCTCCATTCCTCTCTCAAGTCATCTCCATGACTAACATGGTCATAATATAGTAATCCTTATTCGTACGTAGGCTTGTGATGAGGATAAAAAGTTGGCTTCTGCAGAGCTTGTAGCACAATGCCTGGCTTGTCAAAAGTGCTTCATAAACATTAATAAAAGTGGTGGCTTGTGGTAGTAATAGACTTTATCATAAGGTTTTTTTTTCTTGAAGACTTTGGGCTTACAGAATTTAGGCTAATTGTCCTATTGGAATCAAACATAACACAGAAAAGTCATTAAAGTTTTAGTGCTACAGCCATACAGCCCTGAACACACCCGATCTCATCTGTAGTGTTCAGTAATATCTCTGGCTTCTGCGTGTAGTGTTTTAGGTTTTCACAGGAGGCTTAGGTATTTGAACTGCAATAGTCAGGGAGTGAAACATAATCTTTAAAACAACCAAAAAACCTTAAACCTAATTTTAGACCCAGTTTCCCTTAATATTAACATCTGATATAGTCATAGTGCAATGGTCAGGACTTGGAAATTAACATTGATAGAGTGCTAATAAAGACCTTATTCATTCAAATTTTACTAGTTTTTTACATTGTTGTCCATTTTTATTCCAGGATCCTACTTATAGTCCTATCCAGGCTCCCATGTTACATTTAGCTGTTATTTTCCTTTTGCTCCTGCAACCTTAAACAGTTTGTCAATCTTCCTTTGTCTTTCATGACCTGGACACTGCAGAGTAATAATTAATTATTTGTTCAGTATGCCTCATTTTTGTGATCAAAGTACATTTCTGGCAAGAAAACCAAGAGATGTTGTGTCTTTGTACATCATATCACACTTCATGATAGTTACATGTCTTATTATTGGAAATACATTATTACTGGGGATGTTCACCTTGGTCTTTTGGTTAAGGTGGCTCCTCCATTATGAAGTTACTGCCTTGCCTTTTGTAAATAATATCTGAGGGGGGGCACTTTGAAACTATGTGACTTCTGTTCCTTTTCAAATTTTCAGCCATTATTTTCAATGATTCTCAGTGGATCTAGTCTTGTGGGTGAAATGCTGAAACCCCAACAGGCAGTTGTTAAGGATGATCACCAACTCCTATCTACCAGTGGTTCTTGAGCTGTTGCTGCCTCCTTTTCTTCCTCCTCTTCATTTTATCTTGGCCAACCTGAGCGGGGCAAAAATTATTATAGTACTAATGTCTAGTAGTGATTTTATATTTATTTTCTTTTACATTTATTAATTGGAATAATACTACAAGGAAAATTGTCTTTTCTCCCCAATTATTTAATTTGTTATTTATACTAATGAGAACTCATGAATGAATTTTATTTTTTGGGTCATAATATAACACTATTTTTATTCAAATTGCTTCAGTTCTAGCAAGCCATAATTTGTTGTTTAACTCTGCTTGCTCCTGTCTTTTCCCTCTGTGATATTTAAAAAGAGGTTTTTAAAAATTCCCTTGGGTTCTTCACACTTGTGGTTAAACAGAAATGTACTTTTTAAAAAAATAAATACTGGGGATCGAACTCAGGACTTTGTGCTTGCCAGGCAGGCACGGTGCCACAGAGCTTAATCCCCAGCCCCAAGAAGTGTACTTCTTAATTTTTTTTTTAATTTTTTGAGACAGGGTCTCACTGTGTAGTTGAGACTGACCTGGAACTCACTATGTAGCCCAGGCTGGTCTCAAACTCACAGTGATCCTCTTGCCTCAGCCTCCCGAATACTGAGATTACAGGCGTGCACCACCACATCTGGTCCTGTACTTCTTTTTTTTTTTTGTACCAGGGATTGAACTTGGGACCTTGTGCTTGCAAGGCAGGCCGCGGGCCCTGTACTCCTTAATTGAAAGGTATCCAGCAAAAGAGCCAACAAGCTCCTCCCCACCATTCTAGTACTAAAATTGTTGCTCAGAAATGTTCTTTTTGAAAAACATCATACTTCTTTTAAAATGTATTTGTTCTTGTTTTACTCTTAGTGGAGACAAAAATTGTTTGAAAGAACATAGCATGACATTAAGTATGCCTCAGACCAATTTAATACAATCTAAGATCTCATGGGGCTGTTTTTTCCATGGCTCACTTTGTTTTGTACATTTGTGCTTTGGGAGGCACAGCCTTCAGTTATCCTCAGTGACAACCTCTGTTGAGTCTTAACATGTATAGTCCTTTGAGTAAGAAATCTTTTTTAAAAAAATTTTTAATTGAGTTTATTGGTACACTTTAGGTATACAGTACAGTTACATTCATCACTGGGATCTTGTACCTTTACACGACAGGTCTTGGTTCTCATTGAGTAAGAACTCTTGACTGTTATGTGTTTCCAGGCTACTTGACTTTGGGTACAGGAGACCAAAGAATGATGGGAATGTGAATAGATGCAAGGCTAGTTCTGCCTGATTTGTGCTGCACCTGAGACAGGCTGTTGCAAAGGACTGTCACCCACACCTACCAACTGTCCTCAAACTTATTTTTAAAACCTTCACCAGCATAAAGTAAAATGTCTGTCAAATCCATTCCCCTTTTATAAAGGACAAAAAATGAGGTTAACAAAAATATGGAAAGGAATAAAATAATAATTAAAATTTTAATGTGGTAACAGTTATGTAAAAACAAAGAGCTGGACCTAGTGATGCATGCCTGTAATACCAGCCCCATAGGAGGCTGAGGCAGGAGGATTGCAAGTTTGAAGCCAGCTTGGACAACTTAGTAATTTAATAAGATCCTTTCTCAAAATAAAAGAAGCCAAAAGGACTGGGGAAAAGGATATCTCAGCTGCTGAGGAGGTTGAGGTCAGATCCCAAATTTGAGGCCAGACTGGAAAACTTAGTGGACTCTGTCTCAAAATTTTAAAAAGGCTAAGGATGTTGCTCAGTGGTAGGATGCTTGCATATCATACACGGGCAACTTGGTTTAATCCTCAGTACTGGAAAAAAGAAAGATCAACATTCCTTCATGTAAGAGCAGTACCTGATGACTTACTCAGGATAACTCTGATGATACCATGATCCCTGGGAGTCTTTCCCGCAGTCCTAGCTGTTTGCATGTGTAGATACAGTGAAGGCTGCGTAACATCGCCAAAGGCTACGTGGTATCCTGACCTCTTAAATTTATGAATTTGAGTCCTAAATAAGCTCTATTTATCTTCATTTATAAAGGCCAAAGTCTCCATTGGTTAGGACCATTAGTAAGGACCACCTGATAAATAGAAATGGAACATACAGCATTGCTTCAAAGGGGGCTTTTTTTCATGAGTTTGCAGTTTCTCAAAGGGCCCTTTGGTCTTTTCCTTTACACAGTTAAACCAGATAGATGGAATGTTAGAAAGAGGAGAAGGGGCAGCTGAAATGTAAGAATAATCTCCATGAAAGTATTATCACGACAGACTTCCCTGCCTGCTCCATGTCCTAGAGGTGGATGAGAAACCAAAGAAAGACGAACTACATTAGAATCAGTCCCACCCACTTCAAGAAGAATTCCCTACTCACAGTGAATAATTCCTAAGGATAAATAGTAACTATTGTCTGAGGGCGTGTTTGTATTAGATTTTTTTTTTAAGTATGTTCACTTTCTCTGGAAATTTTATACAACTTTATAAGGCACACTCTTCCTCATTTTATAGATGAGAAAAGAAAGAGTCAAGAGAAATTGAATACCTTGCTTTAGACCCCAGGCTAGAAAGTAACAGAGGCAGGACTCAAACCTGCCCTTGGCTGGTGTCGAACATAAGCAGTCCCTATCTCGCGTGCTGTGCCTCAGCAGATGGCTGGGCATCTGCCTCAGGTCCTCTAACTCTGTGCGGTGACACCTGTGCTCTCCTTGGGCCGTTCCTGCCTGAACCTCCTGGATTAGCTCTGTCTGCCTCACTTGTCACCAACTCTGTCCCTTATAACAGGGTCAGGGCTTTGCTTTGCTTTAAACCTTTGTACTTCCTTTTTCTATATTTATTTTAAAGACTTCTTTTAAATTCTGGCACATTATTTAAAGATTCAAACAATACTGAAGTTTAAACAAGTAAAAGTAAAAAATCTCTTTTAGTGCCATCTCCTGATCCCAATCCTACTCTGTGAGTGCAATTATTAGTCTTTTAGTGAATATTTTATATTTTTCAGACTTTTTCTGTGTTAAGTAAATTGTGTGTGTGTAGGAAGAACTGTCATTCCTGAGTTTGGTTGTCTGTCATTTTTTCTAAATCATTGTCCATTGCCGATTGTAAACTGAAAAAAGGTAAATTAGATGTACTTTTAAGTTAATCTGCATAATATTGCGTGTAGCAGTTTGTTCTTATTGAATTTATAGAAGCTTTTGAGTTGGGGAAAAGGGAGAAAGGCAGGATCCCTCTTTGAGAGATCCTGAGGTCACGCAGGGTACAGGGAAGAGCATGCTGTCCAGTAAGCTTACAACTGGCCTGAATTGCCAGGGAGTGTACATAGTTCCCTGCTGTAAAATCACTTGTGTGAATTGTCTGGTGGCCCAGGGGAAGGGACAGTACTGAAGGGGAGGCCGGAGGGTGGAATGTGGGCGGGGCCAAGTTTAGGATTACAAGTGCCACAGAGGCGTTCTCTAACCACACTTTAAATAGCCAGTACCTTCTTCTGCCCCCTAGATAATTCTTCTCCCCCCACGACTGGACCTCTGGCAGCAACTTCACTAAGGTTCGAAATGTTTTCTTCTCTCTCTTTTTTTTTTTTCTTTTTTTGTTTCTGGGTCTCAGATTGCTGGTTGGTAGATCCACAGGACTTAAAAACCAAATTTTTATTTTCTCCTAGCAAATGTTTCTGACACTTAAGTTTTGCATATGCAAAGACTGTACGCTATTTTCTTGACTTTTGGAATCTTGGGTGCCTCATGACTTAGGGGATAATGTACATTGGGAAAAGAAAACCCCATACTGAAAGGAAAGACTTTGGGTTTAATTTCAAGAAAACAAAGCCTTCTCTGAGAAATTAGGTAATGATCAATTCTGACAGGATTGAATGAAAATAAAAATTTGTATAAAATATATATCACTTAGAAGAATATATATATTCCTTTTAGCCAAGTATATCGTACCATTCCCACTTTTACAGAAACAAACTAAGACTGAGTTATTCATTAACTTCTCTGACGTTAGGCAGTGGTATGAGAAATAAACTAAGGTTTGAACCCAGGCTTGTCTGACTGTACAGCTAGTATCCTTTGAACTGCAACATGCTACTCCTAAGAGGCAGCTATAATGAGGCTGAAGAAAAGGACTACTGTTTCTCTTAAGGTCTTTCCATCATTCAAAGACATCCATCAGATAGGGGAGACACAGCGTAAGACTTTACTTAGTCAACCTCCTCAAAGGGACTGAGGAAACCTCTGGGGATCAGTTGCTGTGGTTCCTTCTTCTTGGCCCATAAGCAATCTTTGGAACCCACCCCCTTAATTTATCAAATGAGCAAAGGTGCCTTCTGTTCCCTGACTTTCTCTTTGACTAGTGGCATCTTTCAGGGGGCGTAACTGGGGAGGCAGAGCCAAATTGTCTGTGGCCCAAAGGGCTCTTACTGAGAGAAAGTTCTTTTAACATTACCTTTTTTTTTTTTTTTTTTGAGGCTTAGGAAAAAGTTGCCCTGCCTACTTCTCTAAAAAAGAAATGGGGAGGTAAGGGGCAGATAAATTGCAGCAGCTAATATAATTGAAGGGTTATAACTGAAAGAGCAGAATTCACAGAGTAGATTCAAGTCTGGGCTGTACACTTTACCAGTTATATGGCAACAGTCACATTATTCAGCCTCTCTGAGCTATGTCTTATTTAAACAATAGAGGTAATAATGCATCTCAGGATTGTTTTCAGAATTAAATGAAGGGACTGTATGTAAAATGCATCATCTATAGTAATTGCCTTCTAAATGTGATCCACACCTGGTTTTATCCTTTATCTCAACAGCAGTCTAGAATAGACTTTTGGCATTTCTGGCAGTGAAAAATTTAGATAGTTCTTTACCTATTGTTTCATTGTAGTGGTCTTCTGAGGAGGGGGCAAGGAGAGAGAAGGGTCTGTAGTTCATCTTTCTCTTTTGATTTCAAGAAGAAACAGAGGAATAAATACCTAGATAGCTCATATGATCTTGTTCAAAGTCACTGGTTCCACTCAACCTCTCAACCTCCCGCATTCCTTTGGAAGTATATTTTTTTAAAACTGGCTTTATTTTCACATTACAAAAATAAAACATGTCCTTTGATGAAAATATAAAAAACAGATTAAAAATTATCCCTGTAATCAGACTACTAGGAGGGAAATATTTTGGTAGAAAGCCTAATCTTTTAATATATGTAAATACTTCATAAAATATTTGTCAAGCATATCATACTCTATATATACTGTTTCCACTTCATATGTTGTGAACACAGTTTGTTTCAGTATACTTTCTACAGTTTTTTGGGTTTTGGGTTTTTTTTGGAGGGGTATCAGGGATTGAATTTAGGACCTTGTGCTTGCAAGGCAGGCAGTGGCACCACTGAGCTAAATCTCCAGCCCTTTTTACAGTTTTTAAATGATCATATAGTTCATTACCATAATTTGTTAACATTTATGCATTTTATAAGTTTTTGCTGTTGTAAACAGTGCACATCCTGAATGTCAAATCTTTACCTACAGTCACAATTACTTTTTTCTTCTGCAAAAGAAATAAGTGGCTTTGAGAATATGAGCAGTCTTGTTCTTTCAATTGTCCCCAGCACACAGGTACAGAAACCAAAGCACTGGCCAATATAGTCAAGCTGGCTGTAGTGTGGCAGAGAGAAATCAGACAACCAGGGCTACATGAATACTTCGGGGTCCCCAAGTCCCAGCCGGAGAAAACCTTGGTTGGGAAGCAAAATCTGTTCCTTCAGTGGCAATGCTTTGTTCCTGCAAAGGGAGAAGAATGATAGTCTCAGTAGCTGCCACTTGGCTCTACAATGATGGATGCTAAAGAGGACATCGTTCTTCAGACAAAGAGGATTCGCCCTTTCCCAGTGCACTTATTCCCTTGGAAATCTGCTAGTGAAGGGAGGAGACTTTCTTCTGGGATTACCAACAGTAACAGAGCATCCCACTTGTTTTCCAGGTGGGATGGATAGCAGGGTCTCAGGCACAACCAGTAATGGAGAAACAAAACCAGTGTATCCAGTCATGGAAAAGGCAAAGGAAGATGGCACTCTGGAGCGGGGGCACTGGAAGAACAAGACGGAGTTTGTGCTGTCAGTAGCCGGGGAGATCGTTGGCTTAGGCAACGTCTGGAGGTTTCCCTATCTCTGCTACAAGAATGGGGGAGGTGAGAGCCACTGCACCATCCCGTTCATCCTGGAAGAGGATGCTTCCATCTCTCGCACTTGCTGCTCCTCTGGGGAGTCCATAGATGCTGGAGTTGGAAGCACCCTGAAGGCCTTTAAGGACACTACAGGAGACTGAGCTCTGCAAAGCTATGTGAGTGTCCTAAGGGTCTGTCTAGTATAGTGTAGCCTCATGGACATGGAAGTTCAGGCTTCAAACCAGGTGCATCTGGGTTTGAATTCTGGCTCTGCTGCTTTCTGTGTAATCTGGGGAGCTACTTAAGCTCTCAGAAGCTACTTCTTCATGGCTACTCCTGTAAATCAAGACAGTAATATCTGTCTTTGAAGATCTAGAGGTTTGTAAAGTCTAGAGATAATGCTGCTTAGTAAACAGTAGCTACACTAATGATAATACCGATACCAAACTGTTTTGTGGTCTTGAGATTCCTAAGTCTTGGTCTTCCCTCTCCTCAAATGGTAACATGACATTCTCAAAGTCATCCAAGGCTTAGCCTCCATCAGTCTCATAACCACTGATGCTAGTGGCTCTCCCTTTAAAAATTCCCCACTACAATTGGGATTTTTTTTTTTTTTTTTTTTTTTTGGTACCGGGATGGAACTCGGGACCTTGTGTTTGCAAGGGAGGTAGCAGAACCACTGAACTAAATCCCTGGCCAAATGGGAAATTTGTATGTGAAGGTAAGAGTGTTAACTCTAGCTCTTTACTATGTCATTACTGGCTTCCCATTCTCTTTCATTCTACCCTCCTTGGGTAATTCTCTTTCCCGTAGCAGTGGTGGTAATTCTGCTATCACTCACCCATTGCCAGGGAATCCCAAATCTCTAAGGGAGGTCCCAGAAGAATTTCCCAAGTACTGAAGATCTTTGGTTGACCAAAAGGTAAGGAAGATCTCCTATTGATAAGTAAAGCTTACAAGTTAGGTACTCTCATTTGTAATTAGCTTGTAGCCTGGGCTGCAGGAATATAGAATGCAGACGTAGGCCATCAGGGAAGATGTCGAGAAGAGTGATCATTTCATAGGCTACAAAGACTGGAGGGTACTCTAATACAACACCTACCTTTTTGCAGGGGAGGAGGAGTCTTCAAACATATCAATCTCAAATGTGGTTCTGGAGAAAGAAAGCACACATGCCAGAGTGGAGGTGGGAGGACTAGGAGGTGGGAGAACACAGGAGATGCTCTGGGCCATAGAGTCTCATTCCCAGGTTTGTGACAAATGGGGATTGACCCTAGGGTTGGAAGTTAATTTGGGTTTTTCCAAAGGGATAGGAATGAACTAATGTGTCCTTTCTCCCCATGAAGTTTTGGCCGGTGGCCTGAAATCACAGGACTTTACTCAGTCTGCAGAGGCAAGGATGGAGGTCTTCTCACTTCATTTCTAGTCTTGGACACTCCTCAGGCTTGCTAAGGAATTTGAGCCTGAGCACTTTCCCCTGAGAGACTTAGGAGGAAGGATGAGGCTGCTCCAGGGCATAAACAGGAGTCAGGGACTAAGCTGGGCATTGGAGCTCTGCTTCTGGAACCCAGTAACCAGTTTAGCTCCTCACATGGAGAAAGATTAGGAGGTGAGCAGCTTTCCCCAAGCCTCTCTGGAATTGGGTAAGCATTGGCCTGGAAATTAGCAAGAATGGCATGAAGAGGCAGAAGACAGTGATTTCTAGGTTTAATTCAAAACCACCAGGCTAAAGAAGGGGCAGTAAAAGGGAGCAGTGACAGGAGCTGCTAGAGATGTGGGGTTCACCTACTTCATTTGTCTGGCAACCCTTGGGTCTGTGCCCTGCCCCAGGGCTCCATGGTGAGCTTACGCAGGTTGGAACCCTGGTGACTCTGTCTTGTAGGGCAATGCAAGTGCAGGAAGAAAAGAGTACTTTGATTTCTCACATGGATATAGGGAAATGGAGTCAATAGCATGGCTGCTAAGGCTTTGTTCCCCCTAAATAGAGCCTGTCTTCCAGTATACCCTTTGCAACTGATAGCTGAGATATTTTGAGAGGTATTGAGATCAAATCTTTTTTTGAGGGGGGCATTACTGGAGGTTAAACCCATGGTTTTCACACTAGGCTACATTCCCAGCCCTTTCTTGCCTAGGAAGTTGAACTTGGAATCCTCTTGCCTTAGTCTCCCAAAGTACTGGGATTGTGGATTGTACCACAATACCTGGCCAGTCAGGTTCTTTATTTGACCTGTATGCCACTACCCAGTTTCTTCCTCTGATCTAGCACGAGGCCTTAGCATGCCTCCTCTCTGTTTGCTGATGGATGACAGCAGCTGAAGGGGAGTGTTCTGTAGGACTTTGGAGCTAGAGGCGGATACCCAGCTTTGCTATGAAGGGCATGAGTCATCCAGGGTCATTGGGTGAATTCATGAAAAGGCTCCTTTCCTGAGGACTGATCAAGGATGTATGTGGTCATTAGCAGAACACAGGTCTCCCTGCAGTTCTGCCTTTTTTTTTTTTTTTTTTTTT